GTCCGCCGACAGCAGGCCCTGCTCCACCTGCGGCAGAAACACAGCACCGTCATCGCGGGGAAAGTGGGCACAGAGCACAGGCCAGCCGGCCACTCCAGGTGCCGCATCTGCACCCACAGCGTCCCCGCGGCCTCCCCTCGGCCGAGCCTGAAAGCCGCTCTCAGGGGCTCGCTGCTCTGGACGCCACAGTTTTGAAGCCACAGCTCACAGTGGTGACTGCTCTTCCTGTTCCCCAGCAGCGTCTCTTTATTTTTTATTTTTTTTAAAATATATTTTTATTGATTTCAGAGAGGAAGGGAGAGAGAGAATCATGGATCAGCTGCCTCCTGCATGCCCCACACTGGGATGGAGCCCACAACCCCGGCCTGTGCCCTTGACCGGAATCGAACCCAGGACCGTTCAGTCCGCAGGCTGACGCTCTATCCATGGAGCCAAACCGGCGAGGGCCAAACCCTCTTCTTGTTAATGAAGAAACACTGAGGCCCAACTGGTCCAGGAACGTGCCGTGTGGGCGAGGGGAGCGTGGGGGCTCTGGATGGACAGGTGGGGGCGGGGCTCTGCGTCCTCCCACTGTGTTAGCTCCGGGCACAGCAGCCGGCCCCTGCGCCCGGAAGATGGGGCGGCCCCCTCTCTCCCAGGTCTCTGTAAGTTAAATGAGATTGACGGAGCAACGCATCTCAAACCACACAAGTGGAGAGACGCAAGGGATGAAGAAGCCAGCCCCAAACAGCAGTCAATGACACAACACGGATGCGACTGCAGGAAGGATGTGGAGGGAGAAATAAAATAAAGTTAACGCGAGGGAGAGATCCGAGTGAAAGAGGGGGTGTATGAGGAAGGAACACTTCCCTGGCTGGTGTGGCCCAGTGGATAGAGCGTCGGGGCTGCGGACTGAAGAATCCCGGGTTCAGTTCAGGTCAAGGGCATGTGCCCAGGTTGCAGGCTCGATCCCCAGTAGGGGGCGTGCAGGAGGCAGCTGATCAATGATTCTCTCTCATCATTGATGTTTCTCTCTCTCTCTCTGAAATCAATAAAAATATACTTTAAAAAAAGAAAGAAAAGAAAACTACTTCTGGCCAGTCCGAGAGAGAGGAGAGAAAGGATGGACAGGAGGGAGTCCCTGGCATGGGACAGCCTGTCGTCCGTGGCGTCTGCACAATGGCTCCCCTTTCCGGCCGCGGGCAGAGCTAAGCCAGACTCTCAGGCTTAAACAAAAGCATTTTTAGACGGTTCACTGCCTTTGTGGGCAGCTCCTGCCACTGGGCTCATTTGTGGGGATCCGGGCTGTTTCATCCGCGCTCGGCTGTGCCTGCCCCACCCACTCCCCACCCCCATCCGAG